CAGCTAGCACTGCCAATGCACGAGTTCCTCGCGTGATATGGAGGCTAAGGTGGGGGTCAAGCGTGCGTCAAGGAATCTTCGGCGAGGGGGGGGGGGAGGAGGGGGAAGGAGAAAGGGCCGATTCTCTGAAGAAATTGCGTCTGCCGAGTTTTTAATGGCATTGAGTTCAGCGCTCACACGATCCCCTTCTCTCTTGTCTTCGAATTCCTCGAATTCCTAGGAAGTAAGGGGGAACAGCCGGTACTGCACGAGATTTTGACACCCGTAGCAGTCTCCATTCAAAGCAAGTCACTCATACTATACAGTATCCTTGCGTCTGTCACTCTACATTCCAAAAGCGACGGACGAGCTTTGCTATTTTCTAACGGTGCCTCAAATCCAATCACGCTGACAGAAACTGATTTCATGATGATTCGATTTTAATCTTTTTAGATGGAGATGACTTGTTAGCAGATGCAATTATCGATCTTTTTTGCTATAAAAGAGATTGGCGAAGACAGCAAAATTCGGGACATACACTTGCCAGCTGATTTCTCAAAAAAGTCTCGAAAAATGAGCTCAAGAGTTTTTCTCGAATATTTTGAATCTTCGAGAGTCAAGGATTCGATGGTGAAAGACGTGCCGTATAAGGCTGGTGCCAGACTTCAGTTTCGCTAAGTACGCATACCCGAGCTCGTCCCTATCAGGAGAGTCGCGGATCAAACAGCAACGCGTGAGTAGCGATGTAGTCGAACATTTACACTCTCAAAACCCGAAAAGTTCAATCCTACATCAAGCGCGTGTGACTCGTAGCTTAACTTCTGCCGATTGCCGATTGACGGGCCTCCTGATTGATACCCTGAAATCGCTACTAGCGAATCGTTGTATTCGGAATGTCTGCATTGACTCTATACTCGCAAAGGGACACTTGCTAAGAATAGGTGGTTGTCATAATCAACATCTAATTGGGAGCTTCCGACATGTCTGTCAACTCTCATCTCTTTGGAGGGGGGCCCATTGTATACCCATCTATCATTCCAGAGAAATGCCGGCGATTGTGTTAAAGTAAAGGCCTAGTGCTAAGAGAAGAAATGTTCTATTTTTTCTTAATCCTTTTTCCTGCCTTGAAAGCAAGAGAAGGAAAACCCGAAGTCCGACGGAGAAAAGCCGATTCCCATAAATCACTCGGCAGGTATATTTAGAGGCCATCTAAGGTGATGAAAAAAAATTAACGGGAGGGACAGAGAACCAAGCCGCTCGCCACACTGCGAAATGAGTTCTCGTTCTTCATAACCAACGCATAATCTTTTTTTGCAGCTTCAGCCATGCGCTCGCCGATCCACCACACTATTCGTTGTGAAGTGAGCCGCAGCAAACAGACGTAATAAAGAGCCAATTTCCTCCAAGATAGGCACTAACCACTATTTTACCCAATTAGACGGAATATCAGCTGTCATTAAGGTGCTTCACTTCACTTATGAAATTCCCCGTTGATTGACTTACCCAACAGAGAAACGTTTCCTTTCATTGTTGAACACTTGCTTGCTGCTTTCGTTCACTTCACGCATCTTTTTCTCACGTTCTTCACGTGATCGAATCGATTGATCCTGAAAATTACGGTAGAGTGGTGAATACAGTAGACAGGAGATACTGTAGGTATTTGAGTTTTCATATAAAAGTCTGCGCGAACTATTCAGCTTGAAGCATGAATGTTTCAAAAGGCCCAAACCAACCATCGAAAGACGACGAAATTTCGTGACAGCCATATCCGTTTGCGCTTGCTCAAGATCTTTTAGCCGCCTGTCAAGTTTATGACGCATGGCATCGATTTCGGTCTTATACGTCTCTTCTGCTCGCTTCCTGAATAGAATAGACTCGTAAAAATCATAAAGCATTCGAGGAGATATTGGCTTACCGTCGGTGCTCAAACTCCTTGCGGATGTGATTGCGGCAACGGTCCAGCTCCACTTCAGCCTTGCGCTTCGCATTTTCATATCGACGCTCATTCTCAGCCATCTTGAAGATCCACTCTGGTATCTGGAAGCATGAAGAAGCTTGCGGAGCCATTCAATAGTGGATTTTGGACGAAAGACTTTGAAAACTTTTAGCTCTGAATCAGCTTAGAAGAGGTGGAGTGTGAAGGGAATCGGTGCTCAGATTGATTTCAGTGAACGCTTTTGGCCCTGGCGGTGGCAGTTGCCACCATCAATGCAGGGGTCTTTACGGAGCGACAACATTTTCACTACTCACTACCAGAAGTCGCTTCAGGCATCCTTTTCCCTCCGAATTTTGTTATGCACCCGCCATAGCCTCGCCATTACACCAGCCCGCCACAAGAGGATTACAATATTTCCCACAGAATCAGGAGGTAAGCAAACCAGCCCTTTTGGCGTTTCTGCTGGGGCCGTATGCTGAATGTTGGGGAGGGGATGGGGTCCCCGAGGTCGACGGACTACTTGAACTCGGTCGGTACGATAGGAGAGTGATGACGAAGTGGTGCAGCTAGGTCCAGCAGCTCCGCCAAAAGGGCTGGTTTGCTTACCCCAGGACTAAGCCTTGGAGAGAGGGACGGACCTACCGTCCTCTCTTTAAGGCTTAGTTCTGAGGTAAGCGCGAAAATTTATAAGCTCCAGTGGGATACATTATCTTTACTCATACATTTGGGAGCACATCATGGAACTTATGCAGAAAAAGCAAGCCAACTCATACGCAGCTCTGCAAATGGAATAAGCACTATAGGAGATTATGTAATACAAGCTCTGGGAAGAGTCAATTTTCCGTCAAAGAAACATTGTACATGGGTTGTCACGAAGATGGAATGTGTGGATAAGTGTGAAGCAATTACAGGATCTGCCCTTCGAGGGGTGGTGCCTCTGAAATACCGTATACCAAGAAATTCGAACGGAAGCTGCCATTCACAGTTGCAGAGGAATGACGAGCTTGTAGATGATTCCACGCAAGCACTGAGGGTCGCGCTGGTTCCTGGTGCCATATATACGTGGTCATCAAAATGACCTTTCAGAATGTTACAGCTATGCGCATAAAAGGTCGAAATGTCAGAATTCCCTATCGACATGATAAATGACTTCGCCACACAAAGCACAGCAACAAAGACAGAGCGTCATGAATACGCCTGAGCAAGCGGCATGAATAACGCGTGAAGGCATCGAAAACATAGCTAAGAAAAGAAACATGCGGCTCAGGGCACAGCTGTCTGATTTGAGATGTGAATTACTCGTGGCGATTTATGAGAAGCGGTTGAAGTTCCACTTTAGGGCTACCTGCACCTTCCCGACCGATAGTGATTTTTCGGCACCAATTTCCCACTACTGCCTCTCTCCTCAAAAACTGAGCCGAATTTTAATCGAAATTGTCTGTGAATAAGGACTCGGTTATAAAGTTTTCTCCGAGGGTAATCGATCCGCAGATTATGAGCATCACATCAGCTTAGCGCGAAAACGCATAACGCCGGCGCTATGCGCTAGTGCGCTAATGTGCTGGCGCACTAGCGCCCCTAGTACTGGCCACAAACTCAATCGCAATGAAGTGATGTGATGTTCATGTTCTATGGGTCAAACTACCTCTGAAGACAAGTTTCCAGCCAATTTGATGATTTGGCGCCTTTTGGCGCTAACACTTGTGGCTCGCGCGCCAGGCGTTTCTGCATTAAACAAATGTGATAGTTACGAGTTTAACTACCCCAGAGGCAACTTGCTAGCCAAATACACAGTTATGGACTAGTTACAAAAACCCGGAACAATTTTCAAGCAGGCAGTAAAGGCTAAATAGTGCCGATTTTTCAAAGGAATTGCATGCCATGCAGATACCCACCGCATGGATATTGGTTGGAGAGCTCTTGAGAACCTGCCCTTCTTAAGGGAGACGTGGTTCCTTTTCCCAGCTCTAATAGTGGCACTAAGAAATAGAAAATAAAAAGGCTTTATAAGGATAGCAAATTGGGTTGGAGCGAAGTGTTTACCAAAAAGGGAGAGGCAAGCCGATTCACTCTTGGTTTTTGGTACGATAAAGGGGTTGAAGTGAGTTTAACTTGGGGGCGCAGATGGTAACGGTGGTTAAAAGCAATTTCGGGACGACGACGCCATCACTGGCAGTGGACCGTGAACAACGAAAAGGAAAATTGCTATTCATAGCGAAAGCAAAGGGAGAAATGTTGGAACAAGAACGCCCAAGTTAGACTTTCACAAAATCACCAAACGCCACGTATGTCGCCACTGATGAGGATGGCAGCGCTGAAAACGGACAAGGCATGGCCTTAGCGCCCTTGCCGCGCAAATTTGAGTCGCAACAGTGTCGCGCCTCTTGCGCACGGAGATCACCCTTCCTCACTTTAGGAGGGACCATTTCTTGGCACCCAATCCTTACCCGTGGTTTCAAGAAAAAATGATTCAATTGAAACGGAAGGTCGCCTGGCATTCTTATTGGAACAATGGAACTGCTTGAAATGCGGCGCTCATGTCCGTGGGGCAGACACACAAAACAAAGCCTGGTAGGTGAGACTAGGGTTAAGCCCTAACCAGGAAGGTCTTTCAGGGCGTGCCAAGCTTTTTGAAAACGGTCTTTTGCATGATATAGGGGCACATGCGGGAACCACAGAACCATGGTTCAATTTTTCCTGAACGGCCCTCTGAATACCAGAAAAGGGGTCCCTAGTTCGATTCCTCGTGGTGACAAATTTTTGCATTTCGAGTTGACGTTTCAAAATTCGCGCAAAATGGAGTTAGCAATAATTAGTACCATATTCATGATTAGGACCGTCAGTAACCCTTACAAATAGGGGACACCACTGTGGTGGCTTGCTTGGTGTCACACCTCTTACACCAATTTTCAACCTTCTTCCCCCTAAGGACATGAGCGCTCTCATGAGCACCCTACTCAGTCCCTTGGGAGCCAAAAGAGCCCTGGAACAGCAATTTAGGCCTTTTCTGAACGTTCCAACATAGTTATTGAGTCAGTATATCGTAGTTGGCATATATGAAGAAGCAATAGGCAAAACAGAACAAGGTTCTTTCTCTTCATAAAATATAGGAGGAGCGGTAAAGTACAAGGTAAGAGGCATGTTCCAGCGGTGAGATGTGTGAATCGGAAAGGTGAAAAGTTCTCCATTTCAGTTTCTCTAAAGAATTTGCAGAAATTACTTCAAGGGTTGGCCACCACTGGCGAACAAAGCGAACACAAACATAAGAAGGGTGGATTGGCTTTGTTCGCAAGACGGATATCCATCAAGAGCCAAGTGCATGGACGTTAGCCGAATTTATGGCTTTCCGAAAACTGCTGCCCACAATTCATTAAGGGATGTTAGGAACACTTCCGCCAATTTTACCATACTGTAAGACTTAAATTAATAAACTATGCCGTCGTCGATGGTGTCATCCCTTTTACCTCAGGGCTTCAGAGCAATTTTTGAAACTCTTGGCCATTCGCTTCTTTTGGTATTTCGATAAAAGCATTCTTGAATCCTGTGAAAGCAACGATTCAGCTTCCCACGCCTTCAAAATAGTCACCTTCATAAGTGCTATGCATTGCACTACAATCGTTGCAGTCCCACTGGGGAAAAGTAAGGAAAAACGTTGTTTTGCTGAAAATTCTCCCGCAGGCTTTATTGATGGCTATGACTGGATGTATGACATCCTTTTTTGATGCTGGAGACCTCTCAGCAAGGGGAAGGAGGGAGCTTTTATGGTCGAGTGGCGTCAAATGCTGCAGGTGCCGGAAGTGTGTGTCAACCCCTGAACTAAACCCAACGCCTGCACCTAGCCAACGTCAAACTGGCGGCACACGGCTCCTGCGCCTGAAGCTTACAACGTATTACTGATCAGGACAACAGCGGAAAGTTCAAAGGCAGCGACTACGACAAGTTGATAGTGACCTAATGTACTAGAGGCAGAGGAGGCACATGTCTAAGTCTTTGAAACCCGAAAGTGAGACCTTACCCTCTGTTGAATTCGGACGAGTTGCCAGTTTAGACGCTGACCGTTTGAAGAGTGCACTCCATCATATAGGATTGCAAGACACGGCCTTCCAATGCAAAATGGGCCTCCCCATGAATGCTAATGATCGGGATATCGCTATCGCCAATTTGCCTTTTTGAAAGGAAGACGGTTTTGACGAAGGCGGCGCAGTTTTGGGGATTAACTCTGTGCAACTAGCGCATCTTTCACTGCGAAAACTTTGACCTTCGCTATTTTTTGCCACCTGGATGCTTTTTCCTCTGGTAGGCATTTCGTTCCCTGCTGAAACCTACTCAATCGTACTGTATGCCTTTGAAGGCTGTGACAGCGATAGCTGAAGGACGGTGCGGCTTTGGTGACGTTCTAAACACCATAGTGGTCTAGACCCCTCAATGTGCTAAGCGGGAAGGGTGAAGGTGGTGGTACAGCCCCTTGAGACCACTCCACCAATGTCGTTCAATGATGTCATC